TTTTAAGGTTCCTTATTCTGGTTGCATTAGTGCTTATTTGATTTTCTATATCCTTTAATATGTGTTTTGTGTAGTTGGTGCACTGGTATTTGGTACCTATATATTTATAATTATCTCTTCCTCTTAGATTTTTCCCTTTACAAGTATGTAGTGACACTTTTTGTCTCTTTCGAGACAAAAAGTCTTAGCTTGAAATCTACTTTATCTGCAAAGAGAATTGCTACACCTGCTTTTTTCCAGGTTTTTGTCACATGGAGTAGTTTTCCATCCTTTGACTTTAAGTCTATGAATTTTTTATAAGTTAAATGTGTTTCTTGTATGCAGCACATTGTTGATCCTTGCTTTTTGATCTATTCTGGTAACCTGCTTCTTTTGATTGGTGAATTATGACCATTTTCATTGATGGTTATAACTAATATGCATCGACTTATCCTTTTCTTATAATTTTCCTGTTGTTGTTTCCCTTTCTTTTCCCTTAGATTACTTGCTTGCCTGGTGGATTCATTCTATTGGGGTTCATGGAATTATAATTATTATCGCTTTTTAGAATACCTTTCACAATATTTTGGAGTAGTCATGAATTTTTTCAGGTGTTCTTTGTCATGGAAGTATCTTATTTCTCTATCAACTTTGAATTATAGTTTTGTGTGAGATAATGCCAATCTTGGTTCGAGGTTGTTTTCCTTTAGGGCTTGAAATCCTTTACTCCAAGGTCTCCTTGACTTTAGGGTTTGGTTGAAAAGTCTGCTGTGATTCTGGCGGTCTTTATAGGTACTGTGTTTCTTTTCTCACAGCTTTTAATATTCTGCTCTATGAAATTTTTAAAAATTCTATTCTAGTGTTGAATTTCTGGAATCTTAATGATTGTATGCCTTGGCAAAATAATTGTTGATCATGGCTATCTGGATCTGTATGCCTCACTTATCTGTATGTCAAATTCTTTTTCCGTGCTTGGGATGGATTTTTTTTTTCCATTTCTTCTTTGAACGTATTTTTTTGTCACTGTTCTTTGCATCATTTAGCAGCTTTTGGATTGATTTTTCATGGTCCTTTGTTATTTTAAAAAATCTTTCTTTTCCTGATTGCTATCTGCAAACCCATCTTTTAGATCCAATATTCTGCTGTCCTGTTGGTTGGTTTTGCTACATTTTAATCTCCCGAATGTTTGAATCTGTTTCCACTTCTTTCCCATATTGGGCATACATGGCTTCCATCATGTTCTTAAGTTCTTCTATATTTTTTTTATCTGTAACTACTCTAGATTCATTAATCATTGTCCTTCATTATGGCCATCATCCCTTTAGTTGTCTGATAAATTATTTTTAATTTGCTTTTTTCCTAGAAAACCTATATGGTTTCACTTTAATAATTAGGGAAATTAGGAAATGCAAATTAAAGCCATAATAAGATATCATTTTACATTCAACATGTATTTAAGAAAATTCAGAAGTTGGTTAGAAACGTGTTGCAAAGGGTATGGTTCAATGGAAATTCTGTATTGTAAACAGAAACATAAATTTGTAAATCTGGAACAATTTAACATTATCTTGTCAATTTGATTATTTTCATACTGTAAGATCTACCAAGTCTACTTTTTGTGCATGAATAACAAATGTTGTTTACAAGGTTCTTTATAGCTGTATTATTTATAATATCAAAAGAAAGAAAATAAAGTTATAAGTGCCCAAGTATCAACAAGTATCTAAATTGAGCAGACTATTATATATTAAAGCACTAACAGTGAATGATGTACAAGCAAAAATATGTATGAATTTAGAAATCTGATATGTGAAAAACCTATTTCTGTAATTTATGTACATCATAATACCATTATAAAGTTTTAAAATGCAGCAGAAGTGAAAAATATATCAACTTGTAGGTGTCCACTGTTCAGACCAAACTCTCTCTCACTTTGCTGTGCTTTCCCTACAACTGTGTCTAACAACCCAACCAAGAAATTTCATAGGTTAAAGTCAAAATAAACTCGAGAAAAATCTTCTGCCTTCAAATAAGAGAAGCAGAAATGTAATGAGGTGTCTGCTGCCAATATGCACTATACATTCTACCAACATTGCCTTGTTTTACTCTATTTGTTTAATATTAGTTTAAATAACTATGCTTCCCTTTTCCTGTCAAAAAACTGCTGACAAGCCAGATGACTGCTGCTTCCATTTGCTTTTCTGGGGAGCAGGGAAAGAAAAATAATTTGAGTGTGAATGAAGCAAGAAGATGGATTGAATGATAGTGGAATCTAGAGTAAAATTCAAGCTACTCCAACGTGTCTTGCAGGCTATAAAATGTAGTTTAATCAAAGTGCCTTTTTATGTTCAAATGATTTTAAAATTGGACTGCCAAAAACTTAATATGCAACATAGAGTTTCAGTGTTGCAAGATGAAAGGGTTCTGAGATCTCTTGCACAACAATGTGGACATGTTTACAATTATTCAAAAAAATTAATATGCAAAAAATTTTAAACCTGAAAAACTCAGTATATTTTTGTAGTATATACATGTAATTGATAATACTGTAAAAAAGCAAGAAGATTTAAAAAGATTTCAGGGTAATTGTGGCAAAGAAGAAAAAAAGGCAGAATCAAGAAGAGCATATATGAAGAAGATTCAACTTATCAGAAAAGTTCTTTGGGTAGTTTCAATACAGTTAGACTTTATAACTTAAATCTGTGTTACATTGTTTTATTCAAATCAAATATTACATTGTAAAAACAAAGTTAAAGTTTGGTTGTATGAAGTCTCACACTACATCCTGCAGAATGTTTCAGAAATTACTTTCTAAAACTATGTATAAATATATGATTAAATACATAAATATGCAAAATAATTCATTGCATCTTTATTTGCACTAACCCAAAATTGACAACAACCCAAATGTCCATTAATGGTTGGTGAACAGATGAAATATATACATATAATAGGATACTATAAGCAGTAAAGAGAAACCATTTTTTAGATGTATGTAGTAATTATTATCCTCACAAGCATGCTAAGTAAAGGTCCATGCACAAAAGAGTAAATATTATGTTTATTTTACTTAATCAAATTCTAATAAAAAGAATCTGTACTGGCAGAAAGTAAATCATCAGAATCTACTGGGATACAAGACAGTTTTATTCTGGCATAAAGTAATTTTGGGGGGTGATGAAACTATTCTAAAATTAGATGATTGTGTCATGGTGACAGCCATATAAATTTATTAAAATTATCAATCTGTATTCTTACAGTGGGTGAATGTTAGGGTATGTAAATTGTGTCTCAGTGAATCTGTTAAACCACATTGCTTTATCTGTGACTATTCCCTCTTCAAAAAAATTAGTTGAGGGGTGGGGATTTAGTTCATTGGTTCGGCCGCCTGCCTCACAAGCACAAGGTCCCAAGTTCAATCCCCAGTTCAAAAAACAAAATTAGTTGACCATATATATGTGAATTTACATCTGGACTCTCTAATCATATTGTTTCATTGATTTATGCCTCCATTTATCATTAATAGCCCAATAATTATATGGTGGCTTTTAGAACGAGACTTAATGCTAGGTAGTTTGAGTCTTCGAAATTTGTTTTTTTATTTTTCAAAATTACTTTGATGATTATAGTTTTTATCTTTGTCTATATATTTTAGAATCATTTTATTTCTACATGAACTTTTTTGGCATATTTCATTTGGGTTTACACTGAATGTGCATTCTATTTGGGGAAAACTAAGACCTAATATCTTACAGTATTCAGGAATATATCATTTCATTAACACATTTCATTATTTCTTTGATCGGCATTTTTAATTTTTACCATACAAATTTGTATTCATTTACATCAAGCTATCTTATGTTTAATTTTTGCTTTTGTAAATGATATTTTGTAATTCAACTTAAAAGTAGTTTTACTGTTACATAGAAGCACAACTGAATTTTGCCTCTTGTATTTTATCTTCATAATTATCTTAAACTCATGAGTTCCAGTATCCCTTTTAATCGTTGAGATTTTCTGCATACTAATTTTCTACATCATGTGATCTACAAATAGAAAAACTTTTATCTCTTTTCAGGTGTACATTTTCTGTTTCTTTTTCTTTCTACTGTAGTGATGAACTCCAATATGATGTGAGGGTAAACTTTTTTGCTTCATTTCTGATTTTAAGGGGGAAGCAATTGGTCTTTTACTATTATGTATGTTAAGGTACTATCTATCTGTAGATTGTTGCTAGATACCATTTAAGCTGAAGTTTCCTCTATTTCTAATTTACTGTTTTTTCCACAAATGGGTGGTGAATTTTTGGTATATGTTTTTTCTACATCTATCAAAATGATCATTTGTTTTTTCTTCTTTGACAGTGTGGTGCATTACAACATAATGAGTTTTTAAAAAGTATGTAACTGACTTTGCACTCCTAAGACAAAACCTCAATTATGATGAATTACCTTATTTATATCTTATGTAACTTGATCTGGTGATACTTTATTGACAATTTTTATGCCTATGCTCATGAATAATATTGGTGTTTGATTTTCATGTAATTTTTTTTCTGGTTTTGAAGATAATGCTGATTTCATCATATGTTAAGTGTTCTATCCTCTTCTATTTTGTAGATGATAGAATTAATATTGGCGTATTTTAAAAATCATAACCATTACATGCATTTAGGGATTTTATTTTATATTTTAAAGATGTCAAAATTATGTTAATCCTTTTTATTAAATGTACAAAATTTTACCCTAGGAATTTTGCTTATTTTCCATGGATTAGTTTTCACTATACCACATAAAGTCTTACAGTAAAGTCTAAGGAATTGTTCTTTTTATAATCTTCAGGTTTTAGGGTATTCTTTGAGGAACAAGACAGTGTTTTGAGTTTTAAAAATTTTTATCATACATGAGTTTTCATTAGTCATATTTTTTAATCAAAATTAAAAGTAACTCATGTTTTGTACATTTTGGAGTGATTTTTTTATTCAATGTACTTTAAATAATGCTAATCTGTTTTTTATCTAGTCATGCAGATGGATCAGTAAAATTTTGGGATGCTTCTGCAAGTAAGTTTTAAGTTTATCCCTATAAACAATAAACGTTTGGGTAATGTTGAGTCATGGCCATCCATTATATTTTAGCACTTAACATTTCATTTTTAGAAATGTATTGCTATTACAAATTCCATATCTCCTATTGATAGACCAGCTTAAAGTTTCTCTTTTGTACTTATCTTCTGTAATGTAGAACACACAAGACAAAGTCCTGTCAGCAACCCATTTTGTCTTTAAGATGTAATATATCAGAAATAGTACTAGACTTTGACAATTAGCTGTGTTTAAAGAATTTTCTTTGCTTCCTAGCTATACAGTCTTCAACACATACTTTTATCTCTATAGTCTCGACTTTTCTTTCTCACTCATCTACTAAGTCCTGTGGAGATCAAAAGAAATTATTTGATAGCAAAAAATTCTTATTGCATTTTAAAGAATTATTTAATTTATGGAATAAATATTCTCCTCATTGTTGAAGGACACACAAAAATAATTAGATCTTCCTTATACCCATAAAGATTTTCAGAAGATTTAATGGCCACTAGAAAAAATAAAGAAATGCACATGTGTCACTACCCGGCAAACAATATGATAAGAATTCTAAATGTAATACAACACAAATCCTATTTATTTTCAGAAATAGTAAGTATTTATTTGGACTCAGGAAAGATATTTTAATAGTGATAGTGTGAATTTTGGAGGATGGTCAAGATTTTAACATGAAGAGAACAGGTGACCAACACACTACATTTCAGAAGATATATGACTGGGAAGATGAAGTGAACTTTTTTGGAAATAAGGAATACAAGAGAGTTTTGAACTTTATAGAAATACCAGAAATTTCAAATAAAAATTTGATAGAGCAATTGGGAATGGAGGAAACAGCACAAAAGTGATATTTGAAGCTATGGAAATTAATAATTTCTGAAGGAGACTATAAAAAACAAATGTAGAAGAAAAAATTGACTTTTTAAAAAATTGACTCTTTTTCAGCTTTAATTGAGTTTATTGGTACATTTTAGAGATACAGTACAGTTACATTCATTGTTGGGATCTTGTACCTCTACATGACAAGTCTTGTCTTGATGATACTCTTCTATCACAAGTTAGGGTCCTAAGCAATCAAGAAAACCAATATGAGAAAAAGATTTAAAGGCTTAGAATCTAAGGCCCCTTTCCTGACCTTATATATTAGTCACTGTTCAGTTACTGGGACAAAATACCTGACCTATACAGCTCAAAGGAGAAAGAGTTATTTTGGCACATTTTTAGAAGTTTTGGTTCATGGTGGGCTGGCTTCAGCGTAGAACCATCAGAGCAGGAGAGAATAGCAGAGGAAAGCTGCTCACCTCATAGCAGCCAGCAAGCCGCCAGTGGGGAAAAATCAGAGAGGAAGGGGTTTGGTCCATATACCCTTCAAAGGCACCCTTCCTTCTGCTGAGTCCTACCTCCTAGTAACCCATTCAGCTATGAACACATCAATGGATTAATCCTTTGATGAGGTGAGTGCCTTCATGATTCAGTCATATGTGGACCAGTGAGCATTTGGGGGAATATTTCAGATCAAATCATAACAAGTTTCATATATTAAAGAGTAAATGGGCCAGGAATTTAGCTCAGTGGTTCTGCTGCCTGCCTTGGAGGAACAAGGTCCCAAATTTGATCCCTGGTCCAATAAATAAATAAATAAACAAATAAATAAATAAATAAATGATTAAAGAGAAACTAAAAAAAGCGACAGATTTTCTTTTGGTGAATCTTTTCATGCAAATATGAGCTTGTTTCTTTTTTTTCAGCTTTAATTGAGTTTATTGGTACATTTTAGGAATACAGTACAGTTGCATTCATTGTTGGGATCTTGTACCTCTACATGACAAGTCTTGATTCTCATTTTTTCCCCTTACCCCTGCCCTCCCTTTACTCCCCTCCCCATCTACAAACACTTTATTTTCATCTTTTCATTATCTCACATTTTTTTCTTTTCCCTTATTACCCTTCCCCTACCCATCCCACCTTCGCTACACCTTTAGCTCCTTTCTTCCCATTTCTAAATGTCAGTAATCTTATTAGGATCTTATGTATTATTGCAGATTATTCACACCAGGGAAACTATTTGGTATTTACACATGTGTGACTTATTTATTTCACTTAGGAGTATATCTTCAATATGTATCCATTTTCCTATGAATGAATCTATTTTCTCGTTCTTTATGGCTGAGTATGAGCTTGTTTCTTGAACAAACTTATGCATACTGATTTCATTGCTCTTTTCCTACCACCTCAGAGTTACTTCTTACTTCTAAAGTATGAGAGGACACTTTACAATTCTATTAGAGTACGTAAAACCCCTTAGGATGTATAACAATCTTTTAAGAAGTTAATTTTTAATTAAAAACATTGTTTTATCACATTCACAATATATATTGCAAAGAATTGCTCCAGCTTTAACATCTTTACTATATTCAGTTATGAGACACATCTTTAATATAATGGATGTTACCAAAGAAATACCAGTCTGCTAATTTTGGGAAACAATGTCTAAGAAATGAAAAATTGAATTTATACTATTAGTTTTCTATTGCTAGTAATAGATCATCACAATTTAATGATTGAAACAAAACCTCTTTATTACCTTATAGTCCCTATGTGTTACAAATCTGATTGCTTCCTAACTGAATCCTTTGCTCAAGAGTCTCACAAGAGTATAGTCAAAGTATTGACTGAATTTGCAGTTTCCTTTGAGGCACAAGGGTCTCTTTCAAGCTCATATGTAGTTGATACCAGATTTAATTTTCTTGCATGTTTAGAATCCACTGTGGCTTATTGCTTCAAGACCAGTACAAAAGTTATCTGTTTCTCTTTAAGGAGGGCCCTAATCCCTTTTTAAAAGGGCACACCTACTTATGACAAGCCTATTGAGAATAATCTCTATATTGATTAACTCAAAGTCACCTAATTAGGGTCCTTAATTATTTATGTAAAATCTTTTTGCCATTTTTATGTAACACACAAAGGTATCCCATCTGACCTCTAAGAGTCCAACTATTGCACTTAATAGAGTGTCTTGCCCATTTAAGAGCTATTTTAGTTTAACATAATTTCAGGCTTACAGAAAAAATAGGGGAAAAAAGGTATTATGAAATGTATTGCTTTCAACCAGATTCCCCCATATGTATTACATTTGTGTCCTTCTCTTGTTTTCTTTCTCTGCCTCTCTCTTTCTTCCTCCCAAGCCCTCCCTCTCTTCCTCTTCTCATCTTCTCTTCTCTTCTCACCGTCACCCTGGTATCACCCTTCCTTTCTTTTTGTCTTCCCTTTTTTCGCTAGTCTTTATTCCCTCCTCCTGATAGTCTTTCACACCAATGTGGACACATATGCACAAAAATGTACATATAGACATACAGTTTTTTAGCCATTTGAGAATAAATTATAGACAGAGGCATAATGCTCCTCTAATACTTTAAATTAAACATATATACATACCTTGTACAAACAAGAGCACTCTTTTACACAACCTAAACATCAAAGCCAGGAGATTGTTTATACGAAACTCTTTTCTAAGTCACCAGATCTTATTTAGCTTTTGCCAACTCTCTCAGTAATATTTTTTATAACAAAAGAACATCTAGGATGATTTGTTACATTTGGTCACTATATCCAGTTAATTTTAAAATTCTGGAACAATTCTGAGCATTGACATTTTTGATGAAATCAGGATAGTTATTTTGTAGAATCACCTTCAATTTTGGGTTTCACTAATGCTTCTGTTGATGAAATTTAGTTTTTTTCTTTTATTGAGTTTATTGGTACATTTTAGGTATACAGTACAATTACATTCTTATTGGGATCTTGTACCTTTACATGACAGGTTTTGGTTCTCATTTTTTCCCCCTTATCCATGCCCTCCCTTTGCCCTCTCCTCCCCTCCCCATCCATTTTTTCATTTTATCATTTTTTTCTTTTCCCTTATTACCTTTAACCTACCCTTCCCACTTAGGGAAAGTGGGAAGATGAAATTTAGTTTTAAACTTTTGGCAAGAGCTGAGTTTTGAAAGTTTTCTCAAACATCATTTGTAGAATCAGAGCTCTTTTGTAGGGGAGTTAGTATAATCACAATTTCAAATGGAAAAAAATATTACCCCAACTAAATATTCTTGAAAATAGTTCACAAACTCAGTTTGCTGCTGCTGTTATTGTTTGTTTGTTTGTTTGTTGGTACCAGGGATCAAACTCTGGACCCTGCACTTGAGAGACAGGTGCAGTGCCACTGAGCTAAATCCCTGGCCCACAAACTCAAGTTTTGTAAGATTTGTATTTTACCTTTTCTTAACATAGCCAATCAGAATAGATCTTTATTAAAAGAATTACAGATTCTTGGCTTCCAGTATTGCTAGCTGGTAAATTACAATGTTTCTTATCCGAAGGAATGTCTCAAAATTTTTGATAGAAGTTAACCTAAGTATAATGTCATACTCCTATCTAGCAATCAAAGGAATACATTATGAAAAAACACTAAGGGGTATCCCCCAGGACAGAATCATGTCATATTTCTACTGTATACTTTCTGCCCTAGTGTTTTCATCAATAAACAAGAATAAAAATATGTCATGGGACTTTTCTCAAGATCACTTGAGGGAATAAATGCTTATTCAATGGCATATATGTTCAATAATTGTTTATTTTTACCCTCTAGTCTTCATCTCAGTACTATACTGAAATAAGGCCATAATATTAAACAATTACTAGTTCCATGTATTCTTCTGTACTTATGTTTTACCTTTGTGGTCTAAAAAGTACATTGAAAAAGTTTTAACAACATCTAAACATTAGTTCAAATTAGAAGATAACTGTTTCAATATCTCATAGTAACTCTGCAGATGCTGTATAAGCTAAAAACTTCAAAAGTCTTTGAAAAACAAAAAGTGGGAGAAGGCAAACAGTCATGTGAAATTGTAGAAGAAGATCCATTTGCCATTCAGATGATTTATTGGTGTCCGGAGAGCAGAATATTTTGTGTATCAGGAGTCTCTGCATATGTCATTATTTATAAATTCAGCAGACATGAAATTACAACAGAAATAGTGGTAAGTTATCTAAAATATAATTTTTACACTTAATAGTTAATAAAAGAAACCAATTATAGATTTGGGTTACTATTACTAATTGGTATGGTTTTAAGCCAACAAAAATGCAGCATATGGCCAGTGATATAGTTCATAGGATTTTAAATTTTTATTGTAACTTAATACATACATTAAAAATGGTTTAGCTTAATATGAGATGAACATTTCTCTATTAAAACAGTATTTTCTATCAATGCCCATGAGCTTAATATTTTAAGTTAATCTTGCTACAAATTAAATATATTATTTTCATTTTTCTCTTTGATATATACAAGATTTTTCTATCCCGTTTATGTTGCATCTTTGTGGCCAAAATGACTGAATTTCTTCCACCAGTATTAGAACTAATTGCCAGTATTAGAAGTTCGGCTTTATGATTATCCACTTGTATGACAAAGGAAATTATAGAATATATGATATTTTGAAATATATATGCATTATAGAATGCACCTACCTTTACATATATATAATGTACCAGTTGTATATAATTACTGATTTATGTATAAGTCATATTAGTGCAAGTATTGTTCTGCATTTATTTTTAAATTTAACTGTTTTTTTTCTAGTCAACTAATTGTTTTAAGTGGTTATTTCTGAACTACAATAAGGTTTCCTTTAATTACTATTTTTATAGCAATGCAAATGATTATCCTATTTGAGCCTATTATCAGAAAATAAAGATTCATTACACTAGCCCTTCTGTATTTTTACTTCAACAGCTAAAATTAGCATCACCCTTACAGTACATCAGACTCCCAAGTTTTGAAGTCAGTTATAACTAGGTTTTAATTCTACCTTTACCATTGAATGCCAGTGCAACTATGAGCAACTCAAAAGGCAGTAGTAGAATCTGGATGTGATTCACTTTCATCACCTACATAACTTTTTGTGTGAATAAAATGCAAAATAAATGTAAACTAGAAATACTGATATCAATTTCATAGGGGTTTATCTGATTATATAAAGATAATTCCAAAAATATACATTTTACATTACAGAATAAATATTTGTTATAAAATCTATTTTAAAATATTTAATGCATCTATAGGCATTATTTTAAAATACTTTTAGTTTTAGAAAAGGTTAGGGGTCACCTATTTATTTCTATATAGATCATCAAATCTAATGTTAGGCATGGTGCCTAAGTACAGTAAATGTTTGATAATCATTGCCACTAGAGTTACATAGAATTACATAGTTTTAATTTTGTTATAGCAATCACCTTGGTAATATTGCTATATTAAACATCCCTTAATGTCATGTTTTTGTAAGCAGTTATTTTCAATTCCAGAAATGTACATTTTGCATTATAGACCAAATATTTTTTATGAAATCAATTTTAATTAAAATATTTAATGCATCTATAAGCATTATTTTTAAATATTTTTAGTTTTAGAAAAGGTTTGGGATCACCTTTTTATTTCTATATAAATCACAAATCAATGATAATCATTATTAAGTAGTTCTGATCAAGGTAATGATATTAAAAAGGGAAAAATTAAGGAAAAAAACAAAAAATGTGGAACTTTTCTGGAAAAATTTTTAAATTAGTGCAAAGACAAGATTCACTGAGGGTTTTTTTTAAAGTAAAATACTTTGTACAAATAATACAAACGTACATAGTTTCATTTCTTTCATTGAAATAATGAACATTTCTTTAAAACCTTTTTATTTTATTATATATCAAATTATCGTTTATACAATATCTTAAGGAATATTTATCATGTATAAACTTTACTGGTATTTTCTTATAATTGTAAAGAATTAAAAATTTGTTTTTTGTAATTGCCATTGAGTATTCCATATAATTGATGATTTAATTCAGGTTGACATACTTCTCAACATTAATGTAAGTTCAAATTGAATTTACTAATCAGAAAAAATTGTGAATAATTACTACAAAGTTATCAGATATATTAATGTAAGTATTCATTTTTATGATGTAGATTAAATTAAAACTTGATTTTTTAAGTCATTAGAGGTACGACTTCAGTATGATGTTGAAGATATTATTACCCCTGATCCAGAAACAAGTCCTCCGTTTCCAGATCTCTCATCCCAGCTTCCTTCTTCAAGGAGTCTTTCCGGAAGCACTAACACTGTGGCTAGTGAAGGAATAACAAAGGACAGTATTCCATGCCTGAAGTAAGAGTTGCTACCAAATTTTAAAGCAATTGTATATATTAATCATATAATTCTTGGACATTATGACAAATAAAATCACTCTTCTAAGTTTTTGTCAAGTGATTTATAGTAAACCAATGTGTATTTTGGTATTTTCTTCAAACTTACACAATATCCTCATCTTTCATTTACTTATTTTTTTATATTTCCTTCTCAGAAAGATCTAAAAGAAAAGATAGCTTTGCGGCTGGGGATTTAGCTCAGTGGTGCTGCGCCTGACTTGGAAGCACAGGTACTGAGTTCGATCCCTGGTACCAAAAAAACAAAACAAAACAAAACAAATAAACAAAAGAAAACCAGAGAGAAAGAAAAAGAAAACATAACTTTGATAGAATGAGAACTGTGGCAGGGCAAAAACTTGATAACTTGCTTGGTACTTTTTCAATTGAAAAAGTATGTTTATGGTACATCTTCAGCTATCTTAGAATAAAAATCAAAACCAAGCTTAGTATCTATTAGAAGTATATTCTATGAGAAAAAAGAATTTTTCTTATATTGCTAATTACTCTATAATACTTCTTTTATTTTTGCTAACTTGCTAGTTGTAGTGTTCTCTCAATGTATCTAACAAAGTTTAGCAAAATAATCTAATAAAATCTAAAGTTAATAAAGCCCATTGTAATATTTATGTAAAATTTTTGTGATTTGTATTATAGGGTGTAAATTATTACTGCTTCTACATTGTCAAAACAAATGTGTCTAGCGTGGACTAATTGGAGAATTAAGCAAGAAATTTATCTGAACACCATTTGAAAACCTCTGCACCTGCTCCTTGAAATATAAATAGCTAATTTCCTTATTTCTTATGAAAAGATTAATTGAAAATTTAAAGATTTCAGGAACAGAGCATGGCTTGGCAATACATGCCTGTAATCCTACCACTTGTAAGGCTGAGGCAGAAGGATTGTCCCAAGTTCAGGGGCAGCCTGTGCTACATAGTCAATTCAAGGCCAGTGTAAACTACATAGCAAGGCCATGACTCAAAAAAAAAAAAACAAAAACAAAAACAAAAAAACCCCCAAAAAACAGCTGGGCTGGGCTTTAGCTCAGTAGTTCCACTGCCTGCCTCACAAGCACAAGGTCCAGAGTTCAATCCCCGATATTCCCCAAAAAACAAAAAAACCCAGCCAACAAAGATTTCAGGAGCAAAATCTGTATAATTAGTATTGATCCTTAGGTTTTTTCCCAGAACAATTTTGTGGTTTAAAAAAAATGTAAATATAAACATATATTAATAGGAAAAAATCTACAAATTGAAAAATCACCATAAAAATTTAGCTAATGTTATGATTTTTATACATTTAATTATTGTTTATATCAATTAGCTTTATTTCTATTAGAATGAAAACTAGAAAAAGAACAAAGTTCAAGAAAGAGCTTAAGACCTGTTTCTTAAGAAAACCTATCATTAAGGCATGCATCTCCAACATAACTATATAATAACAAAAATTTAAAATAAGAATGAGAGAAAAACAAGTGATGGCAACATAGACTTGGTGGTAGAGATGAAGTAACCAGTAAAAATTTTTGAAGTGTAATTGAAGAATTAATTTGAAAAATATAATGGGAATCTTCATAATTAAGATTATCATTAGTTAAAAAATAAAGTATGGTCCTATACTATATAGTTAGTGTCTAAGGACCAAGCAGCAAAACTGACCTAAGTAATATTATTCTGTGAATTATAAGTGGTTCTTGAGTTGTATGTAAGTCTTTAAGTCTGACCTTTTTTTTTTCCTCATTGAGTTTATTGGTACATTTTATGTATACAGTACAGTTACATTCATCATTGGGATCTTGTACCTCTACATGACAGGTCTTGGTTCTCATTTTCCCCTTATCCCTGCCCTCCCTTCACCCTCTCCTCCCTTCCCTATTTACAAATACTTTATTTCCCATTTTTTCATTTTCTCGTTTTATTTTTTTCTTTTCCCTTATTTCCTTTCCCCTACCCTTCCCACTTAAGTCTGACCTTCTTAATGAGGGCTATTATGACCACTCATTTTTCATTCAAAGAGGCACAAAAGCAAAAATATTTTAAAGTTACACATATATATGCTTATATTGATAAGAATTGCTAAAAATTAAAATTGTCTAGTTGAAATGTTCATTAGTTAATGTTTCTAGGAATCTAGGTTTAGCAAAGCAAAGTAACTTAGAGATGAGGCTGACATAAATGTAGTAATGTGTGGATTATATACAACATTTATGTCAGACTTATATGTAAGTTATAAAGCATAACAATAAAAAGAATGACCACCCATCTAAATAGATCAATATTTCCAATAGCTTTACTCCTCTTCACCTCTTCTAAAATTGCTCTATCAATCTTTTACTTTCTTCAAGTCAGTCTTTATAACTTACATATATTTAACCACATAAAAATAATAGCATAATAAAAATAATTCAACAGACTACACTCAAAAGAAAAAAAGGAAATTATGAAGAAAAATTGAAATTATGGACCTGACTCTGAAAAGTTGCTTTAAAAAGTGGGTTGGTATATTTCAAGAAACTAGAGAACACTCTCCACCTACATGCTGGACCAGTGCCTAGTGTTACATATTTCTGTAGGATAATTCCATGTAATTTGTCAACATAAACCAGATTAGGTAAAAGAGGACCAATTGTAGGCCATCATAAGGGCAAAATCATTAGCATGCTTGCTTAAACTGCAGATAATAGAAATACCTTTTTTTCTTTCTAGTGTTAAGACACGACCAGTGAAAATGCCTCCAGGATATCAAGCAGAACTTGTTATTCAGTTGGTATGGGTAGATGGTGAACCTCCTCAACAGATTACCAGTCTTGCTGTAAGCTCAGCATATGGAATGTAAGTAATTAAACTTACTGATATGTATTCTTTAACTACTACTTTTAAATATTTTAGATACTTCTCTTGAAATATTTAATTGAAGTCTTTCCTTCAATAGAAACCTTTCCTTCAATTTTTGACTGAAAATAATATAGGAAAAATGATACTTTAAAATTTTTTTTAGTTTAATGGTACATTTTAGGTATACAGTACAGTTACATTCATCATTGGGATCTTGTACCTTTACATGACAGGTCTTGGTTTTCATTTTATTCCTCTTGTCCCTGTCCTCCCTTCTCCCCCTCCTCCCCTTCCCATTGATAATTTAAATTTAAATTATAGTTGTATGTTCTGTCTCAATGTCAAATGCAGAATGGTGTTCCCACACCTGATGTTAGGATGTTATTACATTTCTACTTTTCGTTTGATTGATTTTGTATTTTCTAGGTCTTTTCTTCTTATGCTTCATTTTAACTATTTTCTTCCTTCTTGACTTTTATAGGCCATCAGTACTCTCTTCAAATGAGTCTAATCTAGTGGGAGATTGGCAGTGGAGTTCAATTTTAGTTTTCTTTTTAGTTGCAAATCTTCCATTTGATTCTTAACACATCCTATTCTTTTATTATATTATCACTTTTGTCCTTTATTTCCTTGAAGGTTTTGAATGTACTTACATTAAATACATGGGCTACTATAACAAAATGATTTAGAGTGGTTACTTTATAAACAACAGAAATTTATTGCTCACATTTGTCAGGCATCCCAAATCAAGACATCAGCTGATTCAATATCTGGTAAGGGTTAATTCTTTTTCAAAGATGACATCTTCAGAGTGCATGCTCATAGAACAAAAGAGTCAAAAAATAACCCTCAGGCATTTTTTTATACGGACCCTGATCTTATTCATGAAGGTAGAGATTTCATGACCTAATCACCTTCTAAATGACCTACCTTTTAATACCATCACCTTGGGGCTTTGATTTATACATGAATTTTGAGGATATACAAAAATAAAGACTGCAACATACTGTCCCTGATTCCCTAAATTTGTGTCCTTTTCATAATCAAAATATATTCAATCTTTTTTTTTTTAATTGAGTTTATTGGTACATTTAGGGATACAGTACAGTTACATTCATTGTTGGGATCATGTACCTTTACATGGCAAGTCTTGATTCTCATTTTTTCCCCTTACCTCTGCCCTCCCTTTGCTCCAAAAATCAACACTTTCTAGCAGCAACTCAAAATTTTAAACCTTAAAATTAATTTAAATATTTTCTAAATCACATAGAGGTGAGACTCAAGGTATGATTCATTCAGAGGAAAATTCCTTTCCAACTGTGAGTATATGAACTCAAACAAGTTATATGTTTCCAAAATACAATGATAGGATAGACATTCCCATTCTAAAAGAGATAAGTAGAAAAAAAGAAGGGGATAATAGATTCTGAGTAACTCCAAAGTACAAGATAGAAATGTTAAACCCTAAGTCTGAATAATAACCTTGACTCTATGTTCTGCCTTATATACAAACAGGGTTGGATCCCAAGCCTTTGGGCAGACATGTTCCAATAGTTTTGCTGAGTGGGCACATACCGTGCCACAGCTCTCATTGGTTGGTGTCTCATGCCTGGAGCTCTCCCAAGTTGATGACATATGCTGATGGATCTACCATTTGAGGGTCTTCGTAGCTCTACTAGACATACCCTTTGGGGGGTCTCTCTTCTGGCCCTGCTTTGCCAGTTCTCTGCCTAGGCCTCTAAACCCTCGGGGCATCCTTTGAAATCTAAATAAAGGTACCATGCCCCACAGTTTGTGCACTCTGTGGACTAGTGGAGATGAGACCTCATAGACACAGCCAAAGTTTAGTGCTTGTGCCCTTCTGAAAGGTGACTGCTTTTGCTATCATTACACATTGGCCCACCAGAGCCACATGTGGAATGGCTAAGGACCACTGTCCAGAATATGGAGAGCAGAAATTTGAGGAAGCACAGGGGAGCAAGTTCCTTTGGTATCTGAGGGATTCTTGTGAAATAGTTCCATTCCTTAAGCCCTCACACTCTGGAACAGTGATACTAGTGGCAGACCCATTGATCTCCAAAGTACCTTTGGGATCCTTCCTCCATTATTTTCTGTTTGTCCATATTAATCTCCATATCAAACCCAAGTGATGATTTTCTTTCAAATACACTTTTTACTTCTTTATAACATGGTCAGACTGAGAAATTTCAAAATCATCATTCCATTCTCTGTGTACCTTTGGATTATAATTTCAGACTTAATTTCTTTTTTTTTTTCATTTTACTATGAGTAGTTAAGAGGAGTCATTCTGTACCTTCAATATTTTACTTAGCTATTTCTTCTGTAAGATACATTGTTTCATCATTCAGTTCTACTTTGTACGAAGAACAAAGACATAAAAAAATCAGCCAAATTCTTTGACACTATATGAGTCACCTTCCTTCCAATTTTTAATAATCTACTCATCTTCTGAATTTTCCTCAGAATGGCCTTTACTGTTCATATTTCTACCAAGATTGTTTATATCCTCTTAGTAATCACAAAGAATATTAAGGCTTTCTCTATGTTCTTCACCTTTTTCTAACCCATCACTAGAATTTCCCTTAGAGCTCATGAATTATTAATAAAAAGACAATAGAAAAATATGTAAAAAATTTGAATAAATGTGACAAAAGCAGATCTCCAAGAGACAATATATAAACATACATAATGTCATGTTACATAATGTTTCATTCAATTATGGACCACATGTATGACAGTGGTCCCATAAGATTTTATTACTGAGAAATATTATAACTGTTTAAGTACACTGCTATGTTTACCCATTGGTGAAATTACCTAATGCATTTTTCAGATCATATGTCCACTCTTAAGTAAAATATTATTTTTTAATTGTACTTTTCTAATGTACAGCCACATTAATAATCTTGGTAGTGTTTGAAAATTCTCATAATTAGCTGATATCCACTTTATCAAATTATCAGCCTTATTTCCTTCATTTTAATATGAATATGTACACATTCTACAACATAGAAACTAGGAGTGTGCGCAACAAAAATGCAAGTACACATACAGCAGAGGATAGCAGCATTATTTACAGCAGCAGTTTTATTCTTATTAATATTCCCAAACTAAAGACACTAAATTGAATTCTATAACAATGAATTATATTTATAGGCACCAAATCCTAAAAGCCTAAACATGATACATAACATATTAGATATGCTTATGGCATAAAGCTATACATATATAGTTTCAGTGCACTAAACTGATTTTCATTTTAAGAAGTCAAATTTAGGAATAGAAAGGGAGAAGTAATAATTGAGAAATGCATGAAGCCATTGATGATAACATTCTTTTTAACTTTCTGTAATTTTAATAACTTAAAAACAGATTTTCAGATTTTTTTTAGGATAGAACTTTGATTTTATTTTTAATTAACACATATTTGTATATATGTAGAGAACAGTGAGATATCACAATACCTGTATATATAATGGGTACTGATGAAATCAGAGAAATTAACATTTCCATTTACGTTTGGCACCTTCAAGATCCACCCTTACAGTTCTTTTAAAAAACACATAATGGATTATTATTGTGACCTGTTTTTCCTCATATCTAATTATATTTTGGTAGCCATTACTCAAAGTCCCTCTATTTCTCCCTCCTTCCTACACTTGCTACCTTCTAGTAATCCATATCCTAAACTCCTACTTTGATCAGAACTTTTTTAACTTTGACATCTGAGAGAGAACAGTAGTGTTTGTCTTTCTGTGTCTTAGTTCACTTAACACGGTGTTCTTCAACTCTATCCACTTTGCCTCAGATGACAAGATTTCTTTGTAATATTCAGCATTCATGTAATATATGCACACACACACACACACACACACACACACACACACTACTCTTTCTCTAAACTTTTACTGATATATAGGCTCCTCCCTTCAGTAACTTGACTAATATGAATAGTGCTACAATAATCATGGAAGTGAAGGCATCATTTTCATATTCTGATTTCATTTCCTTTAGACCCATACCCAGAAGTGCAAAAATTTAGTTTTTGAGAAACCTTCATACTATTCACCATAATGTCTATACTAATTTACAGTATATTCCTACCATCAATTTTCAATTTCTGCATCCTTCTCACTTTTTTGGGAGTTTTTTGTTAATTATATTAGTACATTTATGATACATAATATATTCATTATGGGGAGTTTGGTAAAATGATTACGTTTATCATGGAGAGTTAGTACAGGTATATAGTGCATATTAATTTTTTTTATCCTATATACCTCCCTGTTCCTTTCAGCTCTTGGTCTCCTTTCCATTTGCAAAAGTTCTATTTTTATTTTTTCTTTAATTATTTTCTTCTTTCATTCCCTTTCCCCTTTCTTCCCTCCTCCATCCATCTCTTGTTCCCTCATCCATTTGAAAAAGAGCTCCCCACTTCCTATTTATCTATCTACTATTTTGCTCTTCATTTATAATTTTTTTAGTTTCTCATATAGAAACCATGTGATACTTAAGCTTCTATGTTTGACTTATTTCACTTAATATGGTCTCAAGGTACATCCATTTACCTATGAATACCTCAAAATTTTCTTTATGAAAGGGTAGAATGCCATTATGTAAAAATGCCACACTTTCTTTATCCACTCATCTGTTGATGGGTGTATAGGCTGTTTAAAAGAATTATCTATTATAAATTATGTTGCTATAAACATAGGAATACGTATTTCTATAGTATGATGTATAGAAATTCACTAGAAAGTGAATAGCTAGGTTAAATGGAATTTCTAGTTTTAGTCTTTTTAGGAATTGACACAGATTTTCATAGTTTTTTTACTAGTTTATATTCCTACCAACAATAAAGAAGAGTTCCTTTTACCCACATCTTTGCCAGGATTTTCTGATTTCTTGAAGATAGCCATTCTTTATGGAGAAAGATGGTATTGTATTTCATTGTTGTTTTACTTTGCATTTCTCTA